CGTCAAACCTCACGTCAAACCTGACCTCAAACCTGACCTTAAACCTGACCTCAATCCTGACCTCAATCCTGACGTCAAACCTGACCTCAAACTTGACCTCAAACCTGGCCTCAAACCTGACGTCAAACCTGACGTCAAACCTGACGTCAAACCTGACTTCAAACCTGACGTCAAACCTGACCTCGAACCTGACGTCGAACCTCACCTCAAACCTGACGTCAAACCTGATGACAAACCTGACGTCAAACCTGACCTCAAACTTCCCTCAAACCTGACCTCAAACCTGACCTCAAACCTGACGTCAAACCTGACCCCAAACCTGTCATCAAACCTGACCCCAAACCTTACCTCCAACCTGACCTCCAACCTGACGTCAAACCTGATGTCAAACCTGACGTCAAACCTGATGTCAAACCTGACGTCAGGCCTAACCTCAAACCTGACCTCAAACCTCCCTCAAACCTGACGTCAAACCTGACTTCAAACCTGACTTCAAACCTGACGTAAAACCTGACCTCAAACCTGACGTCAAACCTGACGTCAAACCTGACGTCAAACCTTTATGTCGAACCTGACGTCAAACCTGACGTCATATTTGTTGTCAAACCTGACCTCAAACCTGACCTCAAATCTGAAGTCAAACCTGACCTCAAACCTGACCTCAAACCTGAACTCAAACCTGCCCTCAAACCTGACCTCAAACCTGACCTCAAACCTGACGTCAAACCTCACCTCAAACCTGACATCAAACTTTACGTCAAACCTGACCTCAAACCTAACCTCCAACCTGACCTTCAACCTGACGTCAAACCTGACCCCAAATTTAACCTCAAACCTCCCTCAAACCTGACGTCAAACCTGACCTCAAACCTGACCTCCAACCTGACCTCCAACCTGACGTCAAACCTGACGTCAAACCTGACATCAAACCTGACGTCAAACCTGACGTCAAACCTAACGTCAAACCTGACCTCAAACCTCCCTCAAACCTGACATCAAACCTGATGTCAAACGTGACGTCAAACCTGACCTCAAACATGACGTCAAACCTGACCTCAAACCTGACCTGAAACCTGACGTCAAACCTGACCTCCAACCTGACGTCAAACCTATCCTCAAACTTGACCTCAAACCTGACCTCAAAACTGACCTCAAACCTAACCTCAAACCTCCCACAAACCTGACGTCAAACCTGACCCCAAACCTAACCTCCAACCTGACCTCCAACCTGACGTAAAACCTGTCATCAAACCTGACGTCAAACCTAACCTCAAACCTGACGTCAAACCTGACATCAAACCTGACCTCAAACCTGACGTAAAACCTGACCTCAAACCTGACGTCAAGCCTGCTGTCAAACCTGACGTCAATTCTGACGTCAAACCTGACGTCAAACCTGACGTCAAACCTGACGTCAAACCTGACGTCAAACCTGACGTCAAACCTGATGTTAAACCTGACGTCAAACCTGACGTCAAACCTGACGTCAAACTTGACTTCAAACCTGACATCAAACCTGACCTCCAACCTGACCTCCAACCTGACGTCAAACCTGACATCAAAACTGACATCAGGCCTGACGTCAAATTTGACGTCAAACCTGACCTCAAACCTCCCTCAAACCTGACGTCAAATCTGACCTCAAACCTGACCTCCAACCTGACCTCCAACCTGATGTCAAACCTGACATCAAACCTGACATCTAATCTGACGTCAAACCTAACGTCAAACCTGACCTCAAACCTGACCTCAAACGTGACTTCAAACCTGACATCAAACCTGACCTCAAAGCTGACGTCAAACCTGACATCAAACCTGACCTCCAACCTGACGTCAAACCTAACCTCAAACTTGACCTCAAACCTGACCTCAAACCTGACGTCAAACCTGACGTCAAACCTGACCCCAAACCTCCCTCAAACCTGACGTCAAACCTGACCCCAAACCTGACCCCAAACCTAACCTTCAACCTGACCTCCAACCAGACGTCAAACTTGACGTCAAACCTGACGTCAAACCTAAACCTGACGTCAAACCTGACCTCAAACCTGACCTCCAACCTGACGTCAAGCCTGACCTCAAGCCTGACCTCAAACCTGACGTCAAACCTGACCTCAAACCTGACCTCAAACCTAACGTCAAACTTGACGTCAAACCTGACCTTAAACCTGACATCGAACCTGACCTCAAACCTGACATCAAACCTGACGTCAAACCTGATGTCAAACCTGACCTCAATCCTCCCTCAAACCTGACGTCAAACCTGACCTCAAACCTGGCGCCAAACTTGACCTCAAACCTGACCTCAAACCTGACCTCAAACCTGACCTCAAACCTAACGTCAAACTCGACGTCAAACCTGACCTCAAACCTGACATCAAACCTGACGTCAAATCTGACCTCAAACCTGACCTCCAACCTGACCTTCAACCTGACGTCAAATTTGACGTCAAACCTGACCTCAAACCTGACCTCCAACCTGACCTCAAACCTGACCTCAAACCTGGCATCAAACTTGACGTCAAACCTGACCTCAAACCTGACCTCAAACTTCCCTTAAACCTGACCTCAAACCTGACGTCAAACCTGACGTCAAACCTGACCCCAAACCTGACCTCCAACCTGACGTCAAACCTCACGTCAAACCTGACCTCAAACCTGACCTTAAACCTTGCCTCAATCCTGACCTCAATCCTGACGTCAAACCTGGCCTCAAACTTGACCTCAAACCTGACCTCAAACCTGACCTCAAACTTGACATCAAACCTGACGTCAAACCTGACCTCGAACCTGACGTCGAACCTCACCTCAAACCTGACGTCAAACCTGATGTCAAACCTGACGTCAAACCTGACCTCAAACTTCCCTCAAACCTGACCTCAAACCTGACCTCAAACCTGACGTCAAACCTGATCCCAAACCTGACCCCGTGATCTCCAACCTGACGTCAAACCTGACGTCAAACCTGACGTCGAACCTGACCTAAAACCTGACCTCCAACCTGACCTCAAACCTCCCTCAAACCTGACGTCAAACCTGACGTCAAACCTGACATCAAACCTGACCTCCAACCTGACATCAAACCTGACGTCACACCTGACGTCAAACCTGACGTCAAACCTGACGTCCAACCTGACCTCCAACCTGACCTCCCTGACCTCCAACCTGACCTCCAACCTCACATCAAACCCGACCTCAAACCTCCCTCGAACCTGACGTCAAACCTGGCGTAAAACCTGACCTCAAACCTGACCTCAAACCTGACATCAAACCTGACTTCAACCCTGACCTCAAACCTGAGCTCAAACCTAGCCTCAAACCTGACCCTCAAACCTATCCTCAAACCTGACGTCAAACCTGACGTCTAACCGGACCTCAAACCGACCTCAAACCAGACCTCAAATCTGACATCAAACCTGACCTCAAACCTGACCTCAAACCTGACGTCAAACCTGACGTCACACCTGACCTCAAACATCCCTCAAACCTGACCTCCAACTGACTTCAACTCAAATTTACGATTCACTTCAAACCTACTAGTCACCTCAAACCTACTAGTCACATCAAACATACTAGTCACCTCAAACCTACTAGTCACATCAAACCTACTTGTCACCTCGAACCTACTAGTCACCTCAAACCTACTAGTCACCTCAAACCTACTAGTCACTTCAAACCTACTAGTCACATCAAACCTACTAGTCACCTCAAACCTACTAGTCACCTCAAACCTACTAGTCACATCAAACCTACTAGTCACCTCGAACCTACTAGTCACCTCGAACCTACTAGTCACCTCAAACCTACTAGTCACCTCAAACCTTCTTGTCACCTCAAACCTACTAGTCACATCAAACCTACTAGTCACCTCAAACCTACTAGTCACATCAAACCTACTAGTCACCTCAAACCTACTAGTCACCTCAAACCTACTATTCACGTCAAACCTACTAGTCACCTCGAACCTACTCGTCACCTCAAACCTACTATTCACCTCAAACCTACTAGTCACCTCGAACCTACTAGTCACCTCAAACCTACTAGTCACCTCGAACCTACTAGTCCCATCAAACCTACGAGTCAACTCTAACCGATGAGCCTCCCACTCAACTTATACTACACCAATGAGCGTCCCACTCAACTCATGCTGGACCGGTGAGCCTCATACTCAACTTATGCTGCACCAGTGAGCCCCCTACTCAACTAATGCTGCCTGAGGTGAGTCAATGCCATGCGGTGGCGATGTGAAGTGAATTGGCACCATGCGGTGTAGATGTGAGGGTGTGTCGACAGCATGTTGTGGAGATGTGAGGTGAGTTGACACTATGAGGTGGCGATGTGAGGTGATTCGACGCCATGGGGTGCAGATGTGAGGCGAATCGACGCCATGGGGTGCAGATGTGAGGCGAGTCGACGCCATGGGTTGCAGATATGAGGTGAGTCGGCACCATGCGGTGAAGATGTGAGGTAACAGCCGTGGGTGTTCTAATGTGTGAGCACCACATTCTCTATAGCTGCCATTAATTCCAGCCCTGGGTGCACTGAGGGGCAGGTGTATTGGGTTGGAGCTGGTAGCGTTGCTGTTGGCTTCCATGATGCGTGCGCGTAGGGTTAGCATTGCCTTTGCTAACACTGCTGGTCCAATGCATGAGACATGCCACGTGACGGGGGAAGATGGTACACGCCAAACATTGCACTTTTGCCTGCTGGCTCTGAAAGTTGCATCCCACACGATGATGCAAAGTAACACCACACCATCCCTGGTATTTTTTTTCCCCAGGTTGTAACATGTTTCTGACAAATCTAATTTTGAACAAAACAATCTCACTGTACACGCTGGTCTGCTACATTACAGTCTGTTCCATTACCAGGTGCGGTACTACTGGTGTACACCACACACCACGCCTCTCGGAGCTCATCCTCCATTGTTTCTGCAAGTGACTGCAGCAGCGGTAGCCGGTTTTTGAGTTGACAGCAAGAAATTGTGCACACCACGCTTGTCACAGCTTATCCTCCTCCACGGGGTCAGCTAGTGATTGCAGCAGCAGCCAGTTGCAGCGCAGGTACACCGGCTCCCACCAGTACTCCAGCAGCAACCTGTGCACCCACGGTAGCCGCTCCAAAAACTTCTCAGGCTTGCCCGGACTTGCCCACCTGGGATGGGGGCAGTGGGGGCGAAGAGATGTGATATGCGGAAGGCCAGGCCAGGATGTTGAGAGGAAAAGGTTTAAGCATGCAGTGAAGCGGGTGGGTTGAAGGAAGTATAAATGGGGGCAGTCGAAAAGGGGCCGGGAGGAGATGGGAGAGACACACACGTGTATGCATGTGTGCGCACACACGAGCACACATGCAAGCACATATGCAATCTTGCAAACCACATGCACACACACATGCATGAACGCTGCGCATGCACACATGCACACACATGCCACATGCACGCATGTGCATGCGCACACATGCCCGTGCATGCACTTGCATCCCACCAACCGTCCGCACTGAAGCAGCACACAGCCTACCTCTCGAGACCATGGAAGATCCAGGGAAGGCGAGTGGAAGCGAGGAAGAATCCCACGTGGCTTTCCGCCTCCACCAGAATGCTCTCTGCCTCCGTGGGCATGAACGCATGCCGCACCCTCGCTGGTGGTTGGGGAGATGCAGAAGGGGTGGGAAGGGGAGGAGAGGAGAGAATTGGAGAGGAGAGGAGAGGAGAGGAGAGGAGAGGAGAGGAGAGGAGAGGACAGGAGAGGACAGGAAGGGAGACAACGGAGGAGGACTGAGGGGCAGGAAGGGGGGAGAACGAACTAGGAAATCATTGCACTGACTGCAAATTCAGAACCATCTCACTGTGCAAGCCTTATTGCAGTACTCGTTCCACCTGTACCAGCCTGAACCACCAGAACAAACCCACTCAGTATCTAACCATACACTCCTTGCGCCATCCACTCCATTCCGCCATCTAACCATTCAGGTGTCCACCCCGACCCGTTTCAACACCATACGAACTACTGTTGTTCCGTATAATGACAGCATGGCAGTGGTGTTTGAACTTTAAAAAGCTTCTTCTTCCTTTGACCTTCCTCTGCCTTTCCTCCACCTTCCTACTACCCCTCCCCATCCTCCCCCCTCATCCTTCCCCCACCACGTCCGTACAAGGGTAGAAGTCCATTTCAGCATCGAATTGCCGGTGGAAGATGCGCGACAGCTGAGTCAGCTTCTGCCGCAACACCTCTGAGGGACCGAGGGAGGATGAATGAGGCAGGTGAAGCGACATGGGGGAAAGGGGCAGGTGAGGGCGGTTGGGGATAGATAAGAGGGAAGTATGACCAAACAACAGGAAGTCAAGACGTACAAGCCACACGCACAGCAAACTGCCTGTTTGATTCCCCCTGGCGCAACGCCGCCAATGCTTCTCCTTCCTTCGCCTTCGTGTTCCCTTCCCCGCACCTCCCTCCCTCCCTCCCTCCCTCCCTCCCTCCCTCCCTCCCTCCCTCCCTCCTCCCTCCCTCCCTCCCTCCCTCCCTCCCTCCCTCCCCTCCCTCCCTCCCTCCCTCCCTCCCTCCCTCCCTCCCTCCCTCCCTCCCTCCCTCCCTCCCTCCCTCCCTCCTCCCTCCCTCCCTCCCTCCCTCCCTCCCTCCCTCCCTCCCTCCCTCCCTCCCTCCCTCCCTCCCTCCTCCCTCCCTCCCTCCCTCCCTCCCTCCCTCCCTCCCTCCCTCCTCCTCCCTCCCTCCTCCCTCCCTCCCTCCCTCCCTCCCTCCCTCCCTCCCTCCCTCCCTCCCTCCTCCCTCCCTCCCTCCCTCCCTCCCTCCTCCCTCCCTCCCCTCCCTCCCTCCCTCCCTCCCTCCCTCCCTCCCTCCCTCCCTCCCTCCCTCCCTCCCTCCCTCCCTCCCTCCCTCCCTCCCTCCCTCCCTCCCTCCCTCCCTCCCTCCCTCCCCTCCCTCCTCCCTCCCTCCCTCCCTCCCTCCCTCCCTCCCTCCCTCCTTCCCACAAAGCCCTCGAAGCAAGGCACGCACCAGCGACGTTGGGGCGGTCGTCCATCTGCGCGTGGTCAAAGTCAGCGCGCATGTGCTTCACCTCGTCCATCAGCTCTATGGCCGTGGAACAGCGGCGCTGATACCTCGTTCGGAGGGCCGCTCTGAGAGGTAGACGGAGGAAAGGGGAGGATCGGGGAGAGGGGGAGGGGGAGGGGGGGGGGGGGGTGTGGGTGTATGCGGAGAGGATTTGACGAGAGAGAGTCCTGGAAATCTGACCTGTAGAGCACATATGTGTGCGCTCAAGTGTGCATCTGTGTGTGTGTGTTCCTATGATGGCAGACACGCCTTTATCAACCACCTGTGGGCTTCCAGTGACTCTGCAAGGGACCCTAAGCACCTGCCCGCCTTTGGACCTACCCTTTACAACAGTGAGCAGTCCTGGCCTCGCTTGCAACCATGCATCCGTGCACCCTTGCACCCTGCACATCACCACTTTCCGCCCCACCTTTGATTCTCTCGGTAAGGGCGGGCAGAAGCAGCTTGTCACGGTGTTCCAGATGGGAGCGCACGAGAGGGTAGAAGCAGCTGTCGAACCACGAGTAGAAGATCGCCACCTGGCACAGGATGACGCGTGGTGGTCGTGATGGTGACACAACAAGAATACGAGCATCGTCTGTGTGAATGGGTGTGTGAATAATCTCTGAGCCATGTAAGCGAGGCTGTACTTCACCCTATCCCAACCCACTCTGCCCCAACCCACCTCACCTCATCTCACCTCACCTCACCTCACCTCATCTTCCCCCAACTCCCGGCTCGCCCTGTGCGGGATGATCGGGGCATGTGGCAAGACTGGGCAGGTGGGAGGGCGGGAGGGGCGCACCTTGGCGGACGGGGGGGGCACCTTGGCGGGCGGGTGGGTGGGCGCACCTTGGCGGGCGGGTGGGTGGGCGCACCTTGGCGGGCGGGTGGGTGGGCGCACCTTGGCGGGCGGGTGGGTGGGCGCACCTTGGCGGGCGGGTGGGTGGGCGCACCTTGGCGGGCGGAGGGGCGCACCTTGGCGGGCAGGGGGGCGCACCTTGGCGGGCGGAGGGGCGCACCTTGGCGGGTAGGGGGGGCGCACCTTGGCGGGCTCGCCGTTGAAGTTGGGCTCTGCCAGGTGCCGCTCCATCTCCTCCAGGTCCCACTTTATCGGCTCCTGCCCCTGCTCGCACACGCCCCCGCCGCCGCCGCCGCCGCCGCCGCCGCCGGGCATGGAAGGAATGCGCACCACGCACGCAAGGCACGCAATACACGCAATGCACGGAATGCATGGATTGCGCAGAGAGAATGGGGGATTGTGTGGGTGAGGAGTTGGCACGCACGCACACGCAGTGATTGGCGTGGAATGGAGGTGAATTTGATGGCAGTTGCAGCGAGTGAGCGAGCACGGCTTCCGAAGGTCGCAGTGTCGCATGACGAGTTGAAACAACACAAAAACTTCACACAACGAGGCGGCTCGGAAGGGCGGGGGTCGCAGTGAGGGAACAGGGGAAAATGGGAGGAGGGTAGAGAGGGTAGAGAGGGACGCACCATGAGTAATATCTCGTCCGCCCAGTCGTCTGCGATGCGACGTGCGATGCATGCGACACACAAAACACATGCGCGGGAGCAATGGGCGGGAAAAGATTGTTAGGGGATAAACGGGTGCGGAAAAAGTGGATATGGAACTTTGGACAATGGGTAGGACAATGGGGCCGAGGAGGAAGCATTGCTTGAACGTAAATTCTGCCTGAAAGAAATGGGGGACAAGAGCGTCTAGAATAGATAGGGCGTGCGGCAAAAAACGGCCGGGTTTCGTATCGTACAGTGTTGGACAGTGAGCAGTCGCTCGACGGATGACGATATCGCCATCAGGCAAACGGTTGTCGCATGAACCTGCTGCTACTTGTCAGCGTCGCACACGGTTCGTAACGCCGAGAAGGGCTAATTTGTTCAGAGTCGAGTCTTCGTGTCGTTCGCTGTTCGACAAAAAATACGACAGCACTGATAGAGACGGCTAGAGCAAAGAAACGCAATCGAGGATTATGCGGACACGCTAAGAGGGCTAACCAAGGGGGTTCAATTAATGTAATATATAAGCGCAGTGACGTTCTTCGCACCCATGTATCATCGGCAGGGCTCGAAATCTACTAACTGAGGCGGTAAGAATAAACGGAGTGGATATAGACTGAGGTTGCACGATTGCAAGATTCAGACCAGGGGATGAATGTCCAGCAATGGAAAATGGAGCCTCTACGTATCACTCCTACCTACCTAGAAAATGCCGCACATGAATGGCGACGATGTAAGGGGGGGCATACGCGTTATCACAAAACCCAGCACGGCAGAAACTCGTGAGGAGCTGTGTTCTGCTTGCGGATGGGTGTGTACACAATAGAGCGCTCTGCAGTTGTGCACGTGAAACGTCGACTGGCCAATCAGACAAAAGCACTCTATGGTGCGCACTGTACCCTTGCTACCTTGTCAAAAATGCGTCACCATCGCGTCACCCCCAGCAGTATCCACGTGAGCTACAAAGCCATGTTCCTGAAAGATGTGGTGCAGAATCCAACAGCTGACTAACCAGCAATGCTGTAAGAGAAAATGAATACTTCTTACATAAAATCTCCATATAATAATAAGTCACATGCTAAAAAGGCAACTGACTGCGTATAAATGGAGCATGGAACAATTTCTCCACGCTACCATGACTTTTGTGCAGAACAATTATGAAGCACAGCTATACCTTGCTACCTCCGCGTGCTTGCCATCCACACACCTATGGTCGACGTGAAGCTCCCCTAAAATTTCATGCACTGCTGTCTGTCGCTATAGTGTAATTGCTTGGTGGTCCCTAACACCTAATAGCCAGCTCGAATACTGTGCAGTCTGTCAGGCGAGCACCACATGACATAAGGCATTAACGAATGTGAGACCGCAGCAACGAGCAGCGTGCAGAGGCAACACCGTCTTCATCACATGCCGCAACACCCCCTCCTCCTCCCCCAATGCGCCTCTCACATCCTCTTCCCCCACCCTTCCCTCCCTTCTTATCTCCATCGGGGTCCCCAAATGCATTCCAGAATCGCAGCGTCTCATCAGCAGCAGCTGAGACCACTGTGTACCCATCCGGACTCTGGCAAGAGGTGAGCGAGTGCCCAGTGAGAGAAAGGGAGAGAGATATGACGAGTTATATGCCAGCTCAGGTGCTACTACAACCTTCTTGGACAATTTCGGTGATACATACACAACAGTCTGATTTTTCCAGCAACTGAAACATGGTGGGGGTTGAGTTTCATCTGCAGAACTAAGTGGTTGGCAAGTGGCAGTTACCTGGGCAAGGTGCAGCACGCGAGCGGTATGGCCGGTGAACTCAGCGAGTTTGGCCATGGAGGGGTAGCGCCAGAGGCACAGCTGGTTCAGGCTGTACCCGTGCGACGACAGGATCTCCTTCTCATGCCGACTCCACTCCAGCGCACACACCTGCCACGCGCAGCAAGGAGAGCGCACACACAGGCGTGAGGAGAAGGCGAGGGGGAAGATGGGAGGGGAGGGTGGGGAGGGGGAGGAGGAGGGAAGAGAGGGGAGTGTTTAAGAGTTGAAGCAAGTGGCTTGGAGCTAGGCAAGAGGGGGGGTGGGGGGAGAGGGGGGGAGGGGGGGGAGAAGACAGATAACAGCAAGGTGGTTGAGAATGCTAGGATGTGGTGGTGTGATATTACCAGGGGAGGAGAGTGGGCGGGAAGAATATAGCGGGTGTAGAGAGCGGAGAAACAGCCATGGGAAGAGAAACATACGAGCGGAAGAGCAGCAGTGCAGGAGGAGAGAGGGAGGAGGGGAGGAGGGGGGGGGGGGGGGGGGGGGGGGGGGGGGGGGGGGG